CTTTATATTCTAATAATCCCTTTTTCCATTCCTTATGTATAGTTATTGTGATGTTAGATAAAGGTGCAAGACTGAGGGTCCTGAGACTGAATATACAAAAATATGTGCAGATAGAATAGAATTAAGAGAAGGATGGTCAGTTCTACTTTAAAGGTTCTAAGCTGTGCACTGTTAATTAGTTGCAGGTGGTCTTCAGGGCTTTGGCTGATCTCATCATGATGGTTCAATTGGAAATTTCCAACTACTAAATTGCATTAAAACACTAGCTGATCATTTAGTGCTTTTCTGCCATTACTTTCCCAGATGAGCAATTTTACGTGTTGCCACAGGGGTGTTACATACTCACAAATAGGAGGGGAGTTGGTCTGCATGATTTTGGATTGTACTATATGGGGTCCATTACATAATCTGTGTCTATCAAGAAGTCTGTGTCTGCCTATGCTCTGCCAATGCTCGATGCCTGATTTATTGATTTGACTCCATTTCCTAAATTCTGACCCAAGGCCCAATAGTTTTGACTTGACTGAAAATTAAAGTTAAGGTTGGACAAGGACTTACAGAGTATTAATGTACTGCTCTTCCACAGACATCCTGAGTGATTTTTGAGAAGTAAATTAATTCCATTTCCTCATCTATGGTATAGGAATGGCTACATATCATATAGGATGTAAAGTGGCTAAATTAACTGATGTTTGTGAGGCATTCACCTACAGAGATGGTGATGAACAATTTGTCTGAGTTCGTACCAAGCACTTAGGCAATTAAGCACAGATTCAGACCTCAACTCAATTCTGGATATAACGCAATTTTATTGATAAGCAAAACTAACTTAAGAGCCCTTGCTTTCTTAATACCAACAAGTGGCATCAAGGTGCGGCTACTCAAAAGTCAGTCAATCTCACTCACATATCTTTTGAGGCAAAGATACCAAACCGGCACAAGTGCAAAGTTACATTGAAATCACACATCTTCTATACTCTTAACTAATACATAGTCATTTTCTAGTCTACAAATCAAGTTACATTATTTTAAATATTTCGCAATTTTTACGCTTCCTATTGAAATAAGTTCTCGCTTTTAATGCAAATTCTACTTCATTATAATCTACTTATACCGTCATTATAATATTGCCAAGCGGATATGTGTGGGTTCATGCTGCAATTTTGTGGTTTTCATATATCCTCTTAAAGCGTGCTTGCTTCTGAGTATTCTACTTGCGGAATATCTGCTGTTTCTTGTTTATGCAATACAAAGCTACTTTTGCAAATTTTATCACACTGCTTGCACCAATTATCCAAGGGTTAGATAGTGATATACCAGAATGTCAATTGCTGACTCCTCAACCTCCTTGAAGCATTCTGGGAGTTTGGTCATTGTTAGGCCTAGCCTTATACCATCTCACACAACTGTCCATATCAGGGGTCAGAGAGCCAACATAGGCTGGATCTTGGAACCTGGCTGCCACTGAGTGCCACACATTTCTGCCCCTTCTCTCCTCTAAGTGTCCAGCTGCCAGATATCCAACTCCCCTGTAGCAAAGATAAACTAAGACACAGCACAGCAGCAGGTTCTGCAGTGGAAGGGAACACTGTGGAGAGGATGGACAGCACACCACAGTTCCTTTATGCTGATTCCATGCCAGATCAGACCTCCATGGGCCAGATCAGACCTCTCTTCACAGGCTGGATTCAGCCAACAGGTTGTGGGTTGCTGACCCCTGATCTATATAGACAGACTTAGTTTTTCAAATTGTAATTAGGAATATTGTAATTGTAATTTCAAAACTTAATTGCTATTTTGACAGCTACAAATTTGTGTATTGTTTTTACAGTTAGCCTGTCTAAACAAGAGTGTTTGTTATTCATATAAAGAAATAGTGATAGGAATTATGTATGTATAAATGATATAGTATCAAACTTCTAGAGATCTGGTATATTCATTCTTGTAATAACGCTTGGCAGGTTGGATTTTAATAGGTTCCTTCTGCATAGCACACACCGGTAAATAACACAGTCTACACAAATCATCATTCAGCCTTTCCAGTCTATTGCTTCATCTTGTACATCCACATCACTGTCAACCAGAGGGGAGACTTCTCAGTAGGTAGCTTACAGATGAGGTTACTAAACATCCTCAGTTGACCCCATAAATGTATCACATAATTCTCTTTTCCTTTACTTCTGTGTATATTAGGAATATATTTCACTGAAGACAACAGAGCTATGACTGTAAATGAAAGATCAGCTCAGCAGAACAAGAAGACTTCTGCCCATAGTCTGTAACTTGCCGTAGGACATTGCTAACCATGGTGTATGTTTTCCTTTCAGAGTGGAGGAGATCAAGACTGTGGTGTCAGATACATCTTCTGGAACCCCTCAAGGGAGGGTAGATGGAGGGTTTCCAACAACACTTAAGTTTAACCTGAGATTGTGAGATGGGCAACTGCTGACTGTGCATTTGACTGACTGCAGAGAAGGAAGGGCTAGTTCTTCAAAGATTTAATCTTTTGAGGGCAATCTCCCTCCAAGTATTATAATACACTATTATAATTCTGGCATTGGGAAATGTGTGTGGAAATAAGCTGCATTAACATTTACAGAGGTGTGAGGAAAAAGAGGAACATCTGGAAAAGAAAGCAGAAATCTTTCTCAGGAATGTTATGTTCTTATTACTTAGCTGGAGGGGATTTTCATTTTATGACTTATTGGAAGTATGTTTGAGTGCAGTGATGCAGGGGCAGATGCCAATGATGAAACCTTTACATTTCTTACTGTCCTAGTTTACTATTTTTCTTATAGCCCAAAAGTTATAATCTCCATTTAACAGCCCAGGATTTGGAAGAATGAAGTGAGTTACTTAATATCAAAATTATGCAATCTTTCATTGAAATCACCTGCTATCCCAGAGGATGCCATACATTTTGCTGCTCTTTAAAAAGAATACAGGTATGATTCAAAGGTCTAGTGAGTCTCATATCAATGCAGATACAATAAATTGAAACAATAGTTAAAACAGAGTTCCCAACCTTCTATATAAACTTGACATTATAGGCAAAAATAAGCACTTTAGCAATGGAAAGTCATGCCTCTCTAATCTACTAAAGTTCTTTAAATGTTCTAGAAGAATTGTGAGAAGAGACAGCGTCTAGTAAGGAGAAAGCATAAAGTGGTCAAAGGGAAATCACTCTTTCTAATTGCCCACTCTCCTTTTGACACAAGTTGAGGTTGTAGGATTCAGCTTCTAGGTGCCATTCATGGTTATCTCCCTGAGGCATAGAAACCAGCTGAGAAGGCAAGAGGGAAACTGGCTTAGGCCCTCTTCTGAAGAAGTTGTTTTCAGGACTGTGTTTTCCACAGAGATAACTGGTGACTGGGAAACAAAAAAGAGATTACATTTTAGATATAATGATATCAGGCTGACAATCTGAACAATGGACACTGAAGACTAGTTGCAAACTTCTCTCTAACAGCACTTTTTTTCTTTTTAAAACCTTATGAAAATTCCCCAGGATGATTCCATCTTGCTAACATTTTAGCTTATTTTTATTTTTGCTGTCCAGTTGGGAAAGCAGACTGCTGAAGCCCTGAAAAGTATAAGTTTCCAATATGCATGGACTGAAATACCATGTTAGATGGCACTGAGGGCTAGTTCATGTGCTGATGACAAAAATACAGTTTTTTGGAGCTCATCTAACCCAATTATTTTCATCCAGGCAGGCAGGGTCCCCTAAATCCTGGGCAGGATCCCCCCTTGCCCAGGAGTAGCTTGGTGCCAGAGGTGGCCCCACTGCACATGTGTGTAGTTTAAAAGGGCCCGCCAAAAAAAAAAAAAAGCCCCAGAGAGGCTTAGGGAGTGGCATGAGACACACGGGTGGAAGCACGTTGTGCCCCTGTACCCTGAAGCCTCCCAGTGACCCCCAACCCCCCAAACTGCCACAGAGCCCCCCCACCAAACCCCAGCAGCTGCCAGAGGTAAACGGGGCCTGTGGGAGAGGGGACTAGCCCTGCTCATCTGTGGGAGGCAGCAAAGTAGGAACCGGGGAGGGTCTCACTCCGCCCAGGCCCCTACTTCACCCAGCTCCCCAGGGAGCTACGTGAACAGACTGTGCAAACAGGCGTGCTTGTCTGCCCAGCATGTGAGTTAGTGTGGAGTTTGCACAGGAAGGCAGGTGGGAGGGCCCAAGGCCCTGCCTGTGAGCCCCCTTGGGTAGGTATTCCCAACCGTAGCCAGGCCACCAGTGGCATGACATGGATGGGCATGCACTGCACCCCTTGGTTCCCCTCAGGGTCTGCGCCCCACCCCCGGCACCTCAGAGACCTCCACCCAGATGGAGCCCCTGGTTCTGGGCTCCACGCAGACTGAGCCCCTGGCTCTCAGCTGCAGGGGCTGCCTGTCACTTTTTCAGGCTCTGGGGCTTGGGAGCATGGCCACCTTCCCTTGTGAGGTCTGCTCTCTTTTGGAGTCTCTGGCACGCCAGCTGGAGGAGCTCCAGGCCGCAGTCCAGAGACTGACTGCCATCAGGGACTGTGAGCAGGAGATTGACTCCTATTGCCAGGCCCTTCTCCCCCAAGGGTGGAGGGTAGACCATGGTCTCCCTCCAGGACAAAGGAAGACTTGGGGACCTCCCGTTCTGTCCAGCCATGGGGAAGGACCAAGGTGGTCAAGGGCCCCAAGGCCCACTGCAACAAGGCCCCTGCCCTGCTGGAGCTTTGCAACAGGTATGAATCTCTTGCAGCCCCAGCAGAGCCTGCTAAGTTGCCAGTTTCCGCAGACGACACAGGCTCAACTGTACCTACTGCCACAGCTCTCCCCAAGACAAAACACAAAGTGTTTGTTGTAGGAGACTCCATCCTGAGGGGGATGGAGGGGGCAATCTGCTACTCCGACCCCTCAGACCTGCTTCCCAGGAGGCCATATCTGAGACATTGTGGATAAGATCCATAAACTCCTCCAGGCCACTGACCACTACCCTATGCTCCTTATCCATG